TTCCACGAGTACGGCCATCCCTTGTCCGAGGCGAGCACCATCAACACGGGAGGTGCTGCACCGAATTGCTGCACAGCGTCATTCTTTTCGATAGCGTCGTCAGCTTTCTTGTACGTCCATGACTGTTCTGGTTTCCCCTCATGCACCCCCATTCCCGTCCCCGTTTTCTTTCGCTCCACGCCGTCCGGAAGTTCCACCGCATGGCTCCGCCTCGCATTGTGCACAGACTCGTACAATCCCTCCAGTTTCTCCGGTGCGCTCGTCGTCGTTGGGTTCCTCGCTTCCTCGGCAGCTGCATCCAAGAAATGTTTGGTGGAGTTATGAACAGTTGCTTTTACCTCCGCAGCAGCTAATGACCACCCCGGTAGGTTGTTGACACCCTTGTCGCAAAGCTTGCGTATATCCTCATCGAAGATCACTTCACCCTTTACAGCTCGCTTCATACTCAAATAATGACCTGGTGCCTGTATTTCGTTCAACGCTCCTTTATCACGGATATACTTCGTGGGGTTCCTGAAAAACTCATCCAGCAAGACATCCCGATTGGTGTCCACAATGCCCCTGCCGCCCAGTTCCCTCGTAAGAAAGTCGTTCAGCTTCATTTCATTGACGCAAACTCTTCATTTAAACAGTACATCTTCGACATTAGTGGAAATGGTAAACTTCATTTCTTGCGTTCGTCTTAGCCTTTCCTCTGCCTCCCGCCTCGCTTCCGCCAGTACCTGCGTGAGTACTCCGTTTGGTTTTCCCCTTGCAAGAGGAGTGATTGTATCCTTTTCTTTCATAGTCCCTACGTTGCCCAAGAGAGAGCACACCTTCGTGAAGAGGCCTAGTAATGGCCTCCAGCGCTTGGTACGCAGTTAAGTTAAGAATTTCTTCAAGAAGCCGCTGGTCTTGTACGTAATCATCCGGCTCCTGAACAAACATCTCCATCGTCACATTGTAGTCTTCATCAACGGCCGCCCTGCCGCCAACATAATTCCAAAGGAAATCACTCAGCCTCACGTTGGTGCTGCTCATGGTCCACCGCGGCCACACTTTACTCCCCACCACGTGTCGAGCTGCAGCGTCGGAACCATCACAAGAGCCACGGCGAGGTGCCATCACAACACCCGTGCGGTGAAGCATCCCACTCGCACCGCCCAACTGCGGCCAGCAGGTGCCGCTGGCTCCAAAGGACACTCGCAGCTGTTTCCTCCCGCAGTCCCAATGGCGTTGGGCGTGGCACTCGCACGGCGGGACGGTCGGTGCGCCATGCAGCCGCACTGCAACGCCTGTCGGTGAAACAGTCAAGGCCCACCGCCCCCGCAGCGACGCAACGTGCAATCGGCCACAACACCGCCACATTATCGTCCTGTTTTTTTATGATTCACGTTGTCTGTCCGTTTGCCCCATCACCGGCACCAAAAATAAGTGCACACCTTCACAAAAGGGAAGGAACAAAGAGAAAAGAAGGTACGATCCCACCGTCCCGCCGCGGGTCAACACTCTCCTCCACCCACCACCATTGCAGCACAGGGGACCGCAGCCACATCGCAGAGTCAGCACCACAATGCGCACCACACCATCGTGCACTGAACAATGGGCGAGACGCAGCCAGGCATCGCCCCGCTCCATTTTCCACCACTCAAGTGTTGCGTGCCCGCACAAAGTGGCAAACAGAATCAGAGTGCACACAAACCCAATCAACACCCTCATTCGCTGAAGCACTTTACTTCGCATGGAGTGACAACATTTGGGGACACACCAGCAGTGGCAGAAGGCATGGAATTTCCCTGCCAACCCCGCAAAGAGAAACAATAACTCTGCGGAGTAAAAGTGACAGCTCCTCGGTGTTGCCCGCAGTTCACATGGCAGGAAGAATTCCACGCACGCATGGTTCCGGATTCCTCGCTGTTTGAGTGCACACCAATAAAACGTAAAAAAAATACGTGCGCGCAAGATGGAATTAAATACGTGAAAACGTCAGCCTGCTTTCTCCGATGGCGTTGGCGAGCAGTCCCACACAATCCAATCAAAGTGGCACGCCGGACAGAATGGCGTCCGTCAATCAATAGAAAAATGCGACACTGAAAAGGAGCAGAGAAGAGTTGGCGCATGCGATTGCCAGTGACAACTGTGAGCAAACCCGCCAGCACCAACTGGGGCGCCGAGGAGCACGCTTGTGTAGAACTGGCCGTCAGGCAGAGAGGACAAATAAAACAAAAGAGCAAAAACCCTCTCGTTCAATGCCTCCTGACCGCGACACCAGAATCAAAATACAATGGACGATAAGAGCGGCAACGCCTTCTCCAAAACATTTTGTCAAGAAGCCGCAGGACCTCAGGAAGAGAAGAAGGCAGCGGCGGCAGCCACAGCGGGGGAGGCAATAAAACGGCTGACAGGCACCTTCACGTCGACGCGCACACCACATCCGAGTGGGCTGGGAGCACTGATCGAACCGCTCGGAAACACACGCATCAAATCCGCAAAACAAAGTCGCAGTGAATCGACAGGAACTCCCCGCCCAAAACAAATTTAAAAGTAGCGTTTTTCAAAGGGGGATCCGCTTTTCCGACGACGGCACGGACGCCTCGCAGGAATTTCTTGCAAATCTCCCTTCGCAGGTCCGCAAGAAAACGCAGCGGAATAACAAGAGAGCGCAACGACGCAAAAAAAATAATCCTCCTAACGGACCAGGTGGCAGGCCGCCCTCGCGCAAGTGGACAAAACACAACTTCACTCCGGTCTTGTCGTGGTGGTCGTCTCGCAACTATTTTTCTTCCTTCTCGTCGCAGTGCACATCCCCCTCCCACAAATCATTTGTTCGGGCCATGTTCCTGCGGCCAAACATCGCGCTGCTGGATCCCGCGGCACAGTCCTCGGCACAGAAGTGAGGGGAGGAACAGGGACCGCAGAAGGTGCGAGCACATCCAAATTCGGTGGCGGTCGCTGCAGTGAAGATTGACGTCCCACGCGGTGTCCCTTTTCTAGGTCCGGTCCTCAGCGTGCCATGCTCTCAGCGTGCGGTGCGCCGGCCGCTCCGAACATCCACATGTGCTTGCGTCTCGCCGTCGCTCCCAGCCCCGTTCGTTGGCTGCATCAGGGATGTCGCCATCCAGAGACGGGCATAAGGACGTTGCATCCAACAAAACCTTCAGAGGCACCCGGTGGGCCAACGACGACCGTCACTGCGGGATGTGTGGCCCTTCCGCCGCTCACCTCAAATCGCACTTCTACGCCTCCTCGAGCAGCAGCAGCAGCATAAATACACCGGTCGACTAGAGGCCGTCACCAGCCATTGCAGGAAGACCACTGTGCCCCAGTGCCATGAAACCCGAATTGCATTGACGGGCCACTTCGGAAAATCCTGTCGCATCCTCCCCCAATTATGCGGAAACACATCCGTCGTGCATGTGTCCACCGCAGCCAAATGAATCTGGTCCAAATACCCTCCAAATTGAATTCTCCTTTCCTCAAGCCATTCCTTCATTCCATACGCCCTGAACCTCATCCGCACGTGCTCACTCACACAAACCGCCATAGACAGATGGTGGCCGCCCAACGCCCCGGAAAAACATCCCCAGCACGCACGCGCATAACAAATGACATGCGCAAACGCACGGCACAACGGCGGAGAAGCGCACACCGAAAGGATGCGGTCCTCCACAGCAGTCGCAGCCCACCGCGCGCATCACACCCGCTGGAAGAGTGACTCGCGGTGCGCGCTCCCTCTCTCCTCCTTCCCTTCATGCCCACGGAGGAAGCAGCAGCCACCCGCAACCGCCAGCACACGCTACAAAAGAAGCATCCAAATCCACTGCAATGTGCATTTTTTGCGTGCATGTGGTTGTGTGTGTGCATGCAGACACACGAGGCAAATAAGTAAAAACAGGAGCGGAGCATGTGAAGGGACGCACAAACAAAAACGTACAGCAGAGGTGCATGGCAGAAGTAAAAAAACTGCTCAGGCTCACAATATTGCACTGCAGACAAAGCAGCGGCAATTCACAAAAAAAAATTTTAAATTAAAAAAATTCATCTTCACCTTTCCACAACTCACACTTTGGAAAGAAAAAGAAAAAAAAAAGAAAATGAAAAAACAAGAAAAGAAGAAAAGAAAAAGAAAAAAAAACCACACACAAAAAAAAAGCACCTAACTACCATGTTGCTCCAGAAATTGTCTGTATACATTTTGTCCGGAAATAAAATTGAAAAGATAATTACGTGTCTTTCAACCGTCCAACCCTCCATGTGTCCGCACATCGTTTATATTTCATGGGGTCATCTGCGTGTTGCTGCTCCCCTCAGCCCTCTCATCGGCGCGTGAGTGCGGCCCGCAGAGCACAGTCACTCGTGTGTGTGGGGACTGAGAGAAGCACGCAGACATGACGGGAGTCGCGTCACTCCATCGGGAGAGTGAGCGCAGCAAAAGAAAAAAAAATTCATCAGAGGGGAAGGAAATGCTCACGAGGCCGACCCCGAAGGCTGCGCCAGCGCAAAAAAACACACACAGTGAGAAAATCAAAGAGAGCAAGCAAAAATTCCTTTTTAAAAGCGGCAGGCTGTGGCTGTGTGTGTGGCGCTGCGGGTGTCTGCCAGCCCTGGCCGCAAAGAAAAAAAAACAAGAGGGAAAGAAATGTGTGCTCCGCCCCACAGGCCCTCGTCGCACGCCCACACGTCACGGCTCCCTCAGCGCGCCGTTCGTCGCGGCCCCTCCTCATGCGTGCAGCAGGCGAGGCGCACAGGGCCGTCGTCATGAGCGTGTCGGTGGGTGTGCGAGTGGAGCAGTTGGGCGGGAAACACACGGCACCCCTCGCAGGAAGAATGCAGCAAGAAGCAATTAAAAAGAGGGAAGAGTAGAAAAGAAAAAGCATGGTGGTTGCGCCGAGACAACAAGCAAAAAATGGAAAATATAAAAAAAGAATTCTTTCTCTGCGTAGTAAAATTTATTCCTAGCGGTGTGTGTGTTGGTGCAGGAGTTGGGGGTGCGAGTATTCCACACGGAGGCCGCACACTCCTCACAAAGCCGCAAACACCCACAGTCCCAGCAGAAGAAGCAGCGGCAGCAGTCCGCTCCCAACAGGCGCATTGGCTCGCACACCCTCAATCCGAGGGATATGCCTCCTTTCCGTTCCACCCTCCACCTGTGATCCCGGGCCTCTCTTCGGAATGGGGATCCTGTCCTTGATTGCACGCATCTCAGTGGAATTCAGTGGACGGTTGTACAGAAAGACGTTCGTAACCGTCACCTTAGTTTTCTGGCCGGCGGCCGTCGGACTTGACTCCTGAACGCACGCACCAAAGCAGAAGCGCACAAACTCAAGTGACTTCTCATCTGTTAGCAGCGCTTCTCCTTCCCCCAGCGACCGACCATCAATGTACACAGAGGCCTTTTTGCCTTGGAGCATGAGTGCCACTTGGTGTTCTTTCTTCGGCTCCCAAGGCCTGCTTTCCGTTGTTGGTTTTTTATCGCCTTTGAATATCGTCTCCCACTTCTTATCCGCCGTATACGACAGTCCCATGGTGTGATTGTAATTAGTGTCACCCAACGTCGCAGTCAGTAGAGTTTTCCCGCTCGGAGCCTTTTCGATGGTCACCGACGCCACAAGTGTGAGGTCGTGGCTCAAAAACACATGCCGCAAATTATTGTCCCGAGTGTTCACAGACCATAGTACCCCGGAGTTAGACTCCGTCAACTGAAACCCATCTTTGACCTTTACCGCATTCTTAACCGTTGCATTCAGGCAAAGGTACTCGTCGTACCACGTGTCATCTCCGGCCGCATCGGACAAAACTGCCACCAGCCCCGCCGTGGGTATAGACAAGCTGGAGAAGAAAATGTCCTTTTGCGCCCAAGTACTGAGGACGGACTCAATTTCCTTCAGTTCCTCCGTCAGGCGGGAAAGTGAAATGACACTGCCCTCACCACTGACCCTCCGTTGTAAAAGATGCAACTTGCCATCCGAGTACAGCAGTGCGCTCTCAAGCTCCTCCTTTTCAGCATTGTCCATGCCAACCGGTCCAACATGAAACGAGCGGTTGTTGTCCGTGACCCAAAGGTAGAGCGGATTGGCGTTTTCCCCCAAGGAGTTCCCTCTCTGAGTGTACAGCATGACCCTCCTTCCCTCAATGGTCGCGGTGATGAGGGCATCCACATGCAGGCTTGAATCCTGAGAGGCTCCCGATCCTGAGTTGACCCACACGCCCAAGAGTTTCCCGACTGCCTCCGTCCACGTTGTCCCCATGTCACGCGACACGTACAC